AATTCCAGGAAACCTCAATGTTTTAGTCATAACTTTGGATTGTACTCATGGTGATTCTTGACCAAATGTGGCCACTGGCTATGGGGTGCACACACCTGTGTTGATATCATTTTCCAAACAATGTTAAACAATAATTTCTTTTACTCAACTTTCTGATCTTGGTGTGTGTGTGTGGGGGGTACAATCCTTCAATATTTCAATTGTTTTTAACAAGATGAATAGTCTCACTTACCACCCCCACCCCCTCCACATTTCTCCCAGACAAAATCTTTTCAGGGATTTTTAAAACTTCCTTAAAATCCAAGAGATAAAGTCAGTAACTACAGGAAGGGATGGCAAGGTGGGGGGGGGGGGGTCGTGGGGTGAACATGGTGTGAGGGACTCCAGCTGGGGCTGGGGCTGCTTTGACAGTATTACCAAAGAGACCTCTGATACCGTTTCTTCTAATGCTCTGGCTGTAAAACCAAAGCCTGCACTTACCCACGCTTCAAAGTGAGTATTGGTATCAGCCCCTCTCATAGCTTTTTCCCCTTTCAGTTTTTGAGACAGGGTCTCACTATGTAGCCCTGACTAGCCTGGAGCTTGCTATGTAGATCAGGCTGGCCTCTAACTCACACAGATCCACCTGCTGAGTGCTGAGACTAAAGGTGTGCACCACCATGCCCGGCCTCTCCTCTCATGGCTTTAAATCCTCTCTTTGACAACAGTAGTTTACCAGCTTCAGTCAAATCCCCACCTTCTTTAATTTAGAATCAACAGGCGAGTGAGGGTTCCACACAGCAAATTAATCTGCAGAACGAAGATGAAAAGCTGACAGTGTTATTTATTAGAACCCTAAACCACAAAGATACTAGGCAAGAACACTTTATTAACTCCAGCCCAAGACTATTACCAATAAAAGAAAACGGGCCAAGGTACAGCGACATCAGAGCCAGGGAAGTCACAGAGTTCTAAAGCATCAAACAAATTTCAAGGTGACATCTTAGTCCAAATCACAGCAAGCATCTGGACACAAGGGCTGCTGCTGTGGCTCCAAACTTGGACCTGGAGCAGAGCCAGCACTGTGTGACACTTGACCCAAAGCCAACGGTGCATTTCACAGAATAGGGAAGGCCAGGTGTGGTGGCTCGCTCCCGTCCTAGCTCTAGGGAGACTAAAACAGGAGAGTCACCACGAGTTGGAGACCAGCCTGAGTTACAACAGTGAGTTTCAGGTCAGCCACTGGATAGTGAGGCTCTCCCTCAAAAAATAATTAATTAAAAATAAAATAAAAAGAGAAGGGGATGAAAGGAATATCACAGATGTTGCAGTTACCCCAGCCGTGCCTCATCCTGTAAGCAATGACTCAGTCCGGGCCCGAACAGAGTACAGAAACCATAGGAAGCTGCCTCTCCTACCCCAGGGAATGGACGACACTGGTGCAATGGCACCCTGGGACTGTCTGCACAGGGGCCACACTTCAGGAACATTTGCTCATGACTGAGCACAATGAGCATGAGGTTCCCGGGGAAGGCGGGAGCCAGGGCAAAGGTGATGTACCATAGATGCATTTCAACCACGGCAGCGGTGACACACCACAGCTAGGGCCGTGTTCCTCGGCAATAATAGGATCTAGAGACCTACACAAAATTGTGACCCGAGACGTCAGGTACCTAAGGCGCATCTGGTGGTTGCTCCTGCAGAGAAGGTGGGGTTTTGTCTGGGCACCACGGCTAAGCTTTTCATTCTTCATGAAGCTCCAAGCCATGAGGTCAAATCAAGGGCCTGAATCAAGGGCCTGCCTTAGTTCTCACATTTCCATCCAAGGGATGCGGATTTGAACTCCGGGATACTGGTTATGTCCAGGGCTAAGTTGTTCCTTTGGAAATGACCCTCCTTGGAGAGGATGAACCCAGGAGAATCGTTCTTACCTTCCTGGGAGTAGTTCCTGGGACTGGGCTGGGGGCTGTTCTGGCCATCGCGCTCCTTGTCAGAGGGAACTTTTTTCAGGATGGGTGGAAGGAGAGCAACTTTGGGGGAACTAGGACCAGATGGAGAGTCTGGGGTATCTTCTAGGGAGACACAAAGACACAAAACAAACTGGATTCCAAAACACACAAAGCCAGATGAATCTTTAAACACAGATGACTCATGAGAGAAGAAAAACCATCATGGAAAGATTCTGGCCCAAAGTTATTTTTGTGCGAAGTAATTAATATCCACAATCAAGGAAAAAATAAAGACCATTCTGGAAGGTTAAAATCCATATCGATGCTGCATATATTTCAATGAGCTTTTGTTTGAAAAATCAGACTACAACTCTGCCTCAAATACAAAGCTGTTGACTTAAAAAATTTTTTATTTATTATTGTGTAATGTCCACAGAGGTCAGAAGAGGCCGTCGGATCCCCTGGGACTGGAGTTACAGACAGTTGTTAGCTGCCATGTGGGTGCTGGGATTCGAACCTGGGTCTTCTGCAAGAACAACCAGTGTTCTTAACCGCTGAGCCATCTCTATTTTATGTATATGCATGCATTGCCTGCATGTATGTAAGTGCACCCATGTCATGCATGCAATGCCCATGGAGGTAAGAAGAGGGAGTCGGATCCCCTGGAACTGGAGTTAAGGATGGTTGCTAGCCACCATGTGGGTACTGGGATTCGAACCCAGGTCCTCTGCAAGAGCAGCCAGTGCTCTTAACCGCTGAGTCATCTCTCCAGGCCCACTGTTTACTATCTTAAATATTTACTATGCATAGCACACTGCCTTTAGCAGTTGTCAGAGCCAGTGCATACATGAAAACACATGTACCTACACATACACACATGTACCTACATACATGTAATTGAGGGGCCCAGGAACACTTTGGAGTCATGGAGGTTTTTTTTTAATATTTTATTTATTCTTTGTGCATAAGCGTATTGCCTACATGTATGTGAGTGCACCCGTGTTGTGCATTGCCGCTGAGGTCAGAAGAGGGCTTCGGATTCTCCTGGAACTGGAGTTAAGGACGGTTCATAGTCACCATGTGGGTGCTGGGAATTGAACCCAGGTCCTCTGCAAGAGCAGTCAGTGCTCTTAACTGCTGAGCCATCTCTCCAGCCCCAGAGTCATGGAGTTTTAAACCTACTAACTTTAGTTTCTGTATCAATGAGGGGATTAAATAATCTCCTAGGCTAAAAAAGTGACAGGCTAGCCAGGGCTAAACCCTACAGTCTTTTCTGAAAGCTACGGCTGCTTCACTGTGAAGAAGACTTGAGCTGTGTTTACTGCCAGAGTGTGATTCTGAAGCCAGGGTGTGTGTGCACGTGTGGGTGGGGGACCACCAGGCTCTTAGTCCTATACTCCACTCACATCTCCCACTTGCTCCACTGCAGAATCAAGGTACCACGACTGGGTCATCTCTCAGAACTGCAAAGGGGAACTGAGCAGGCACTCTTGTAAATGGTGCTGGATCCTCAATCGCTATCAAAGCATCAGTTTGTGAACATAATTCTTCATATGCCAATTACTGTGAAATAAACACTGAGTGAGCTGAAAGGGAAAGCTTACAGCTGAATGAGAGGAATCCGGCAAGCTTTATGCTCGCCACTGGCAACCAGGGAGGCAAGAGTCTCTGTGAGCTAGATCAGAGTTTGAGATGTTTTCTTAGTTCATCGAGAACCCAGAGCCTTTTCTTGACAAGTTTCTGCTTTTCATTAGCATTTGTCTATCTGTCTGTCTGTCTGTCTGTGACAGTCCAGGTGGGCCTGGAACTCACTATGCAGTACAGCCTGGCTTCCAACTCACAGCAATCCTCCTGCCTTAGCCTCCCAAGTGCTGGAGGAGGATGAGCAAGATGATGACAGGATGAAGATGCCAGTGGTCTGGCTGCATCTCTACCTGCTTCCTGACCTTTCTGGGGGATTATAGGGAAGAGGTGAAGATACGATGGGCTGTTCATTATTTTACGCATTCAACTTTCATATGTTGTGAAATTTCTTCTAATTTTTTTAAAAAACACTTGATATA